TGGGACACGGCCGTGTTTTGGTTGACCCCTGCCCGTGTTTTTTAGCTGGCTCGACCAAACGACTTTCAAATGATCCGAAACTCGCGCTTGGCCTTCCCTTCGACGTCTGGGACCTGAAATAGGACAAAATAGCATAACCCGGCGTAAAATAGGCCAAAACACACAACCATGCTCCGCAAATGGATAAGAAATAGGGGTGTAAAATCATGCAATTACATCGTTATCAATTAACCTAACTAGGAGACAATGAATTGCACAAGAAAACCCAGCATTCAATCCCCTTTCAAAAAAAGGAAGGGGTTTTTTTCTCTCTACCTAGGTTAGAATGGCAATTAGATTGATAGGCTTTCACACAACACAATCATTCATGATTAATACCTCCACATTCACATTAAACACAACCACACACAAATCATTCAATTCATACAAGCATTCACATAATTGTAGCTAGGGTTTACCAACACCCAAGTGAAAGAAGGGACTACTCCATGCTAGGAGAAGGGAAAACACAAGAGAGAAGAAGGAAAACCATCAAAGAGACGCTAGCCTTGCTCCTTGTGTTGAAGAGATCCTCCTTTGGGGAAGGAATTCTCAAATCCTTGCTTGGAGATGAAACCCTAGCTTCTCCTCTTCTTTGGTTCGTCACTTTCTCACTCTAAAAATCTGAAGAAGAAGAAGAAGAAGTTTCTCATACTAGGTCTCTCCCATCTTCTTCTTCCTTTTAGCTAGCTCTTTATACTGAGATCGTGCCCAATTCACAGTCCAAGTTCACGGCTGTGAACATCAAACCGCGTCCGTGAACACAATGTGCTGAACCAAAACGCATCACTTCACTTCTTGAGTTCACGGTTTGTGGTTGCATTTCACGGTCTTAGCGATCGTGAATAGCCTTGGCGTCAGTAACCTCAAAATCACCTCTGGACGCTTCTTGGTTCACGGGTTATGGTTCCAGTTCACGATTCTGGCGATCGTGAACTCTAATGGTAGACCGTGAACATAGGTTGATTCCTCCTCTTTGCCCGGTCTTTGCTCCTTTTCTTCCAACTTTCGACTCGAAACCCCTCTGCACGCTTCTTGGTTCACGGGTTATGGTTACAGTTCACGGTCCTGGCGACCGTGAACTCTAATGGTAGACCGTGAACACAGGCTGATTCCTCCTCTTTGCCCGGTCTTTGCTCCTTTTCTTCTAACTTTCGACTCTGGGGTTGGTTTCAGCTGTTAGAATCTGAAACACACTGAAACACAAGAAAGCTAGCGTAAAACCACCCCTTTTGGAGCTCAATTGCCACAAACTTCAAAGAGAAACGGGGATAAAAGAGTGTACAATTAGGCCCGGATCACTTATGTTGCTTATGTCGTTGTTAGAATCGTGTTTTGCAATATATTGAAGTTGGATATATATGATAATTACTAATTATGAACGTATCATCACGTAGATGTGATAGTTACTATCTTTAATTCAAGAACATATATGGAAGATGGATGTCAAGAACTGGTTAGTTTAATAACTCAGTTGTTGGGAGATGTTGCTAACATAGTTTTTTTTACAGGTCTTTTACATGTCTCTTGTAGCGAAAGTATGTACTGTGCATACAACTTGTCAAGATCTCGAAAAGTTATGTGGAATTAGAAATTTTCACTACAATTGGATACTCAAGCACAAAGATACGTTGGTTTGAAGTTTCCACTAAGGTTAGGGTTTATTGAAAAAGTTTCTTGAACCAAACCTCCCCGACCTCATGCCTTCAATAAAACCGCCCCCAACCCATGCGGTTTACATCGAAAATAGTGCCCCCACTAGGCGGTTTTCGAGAAATGGTGGTATTTTTAAAAAATTTCTTAAATGGGTGGTATTTTTGAATTTTTTTTCCTTTTTAGTGGTATTTATGGAAAAAATCAAAACTAATACAACAACCAAACTAACGTTTAATCAGTTTTATTAATTGTTTAACCAAAATAACCAATATAACATCACATTATCACTAAGTGAGAAATTTTTTTTATTAGTTCAACAATTCACAATTTATATAGTAAATAACAAATAACATTCACCACATACTTATAGTTATTCCTTAACATAAATACATGTAACTAATACAATTATCTTATATTTGACTCTTAAGTGGTTATGCAAAGTATTAAAACCAAACCAAACTAATTTGGTTTGAACTCCCCTATATAATATGGTTATGCCTAATTACTTAACTCGTTAATTTGGTTTGATCGGTTAGAAGTGTCTAAAACCAAACCAAACTAATTTGCTCTGAACTCCCCTAGAGAAAGGGATGGAGATGAATCGCTCTCTCTATTTGTTCCACTAAATATTTCATTTTAATTGAAAAACATAGACTAAATATTTTCAAAAAATAAAGCAAAGACATATACATTATAATATTTTTATATTATTGATATTATATTGCTTTCTTTAAGACATTCGTGGCACTATTTTCATTGCGCACGACAGACTATCAACCGGTCGCCTCCAGAATAAAACAGCTCGTCTAGGGTGCTCGGCGGTTTTGTGCGCAATTAGAGTTATATGAATACTCTCTCGCTCATGTTTCTGCTCTTTAGTTGTGTGTCTAGAGAAGCTTAGGGCCCGTTTAGTATCATTTTGTTGTTGTTGTGGTTTCAGTGGTGTTGTGCAAACAGATGTACAACCACAACAGGAAAAAAACAGAAAACACAAACCTGTTTAGTTGATAAATCTGAAAAATAATGAAAGCTGAAAACAAGAAACAAAAACACGTTTAGTTACTACTGTAAGAACTAAAAACAAAAAAAAAAAGAGATATGTCCTCAATATTAAGCAAAGTCTCACAAAATTCAATTTGCCTAACATCTTTCATGTTCCTTACATAAAAAATAATACTAAACATGATTATCACTCCATAACTGGTTAGCAATGGCATCACGCTTCTCGGTCATCTCACGTGTTGCTGCATAGCTGACGTTGAACTCAGTGAGTGGTAGGTTGAAGTAACACGATTTCCCTTTTTAACTTCTTCCACCAAAAGATCAATGAACACAGATTCAGCTTTATCACCCCATATTTTGCTATCATCCCTCTCCCCATTATCATTTTTCTGAATCTCCACACAATCAACATCACCATTTTCAACAATTTTCTCCATAACTGAGGTAAACCACAAAACGAAGAACATAGCAATCAATCCAAATTCACAAATAATTAATCTATCAATCACTAAATACATGTCATAATTCAAGAACATATTCTAACCTAACCAGTATAGCAGTTGTAGAAAAGGCTAATTGTAATGCATGGCAATATGGCATTGCCAATCTGTTGTACACAAGAACCAGCGAGTGTTTACATGTGAAATAATAGTTCACTTTTCAGTTTTAGAGCAGGATCATCTGAATATATGAACAGAACATGTAGATAAGTTGATTATTGGTTTTAAGATGGGGACGACTAAAACATCCACCCAAATTTAAATGGATGTAAGAAAGTGCATATGATATTACGGATTGAAGGTATGAATTTACTATCCAATAAAAATCCATCCAATTTTCTCTGTGTATGGCGCAGCTTGAAAATACAGCTATACAATTAATTTCTACCCTTTTTAGAAAGTACATAGAGGGGAACAGGAAGTTACCTGCTGCGGGGAGGTAGGGCCGGCGGGCTGGGCGGCGGGCTGGGCGAGGGTCGCGCGGGGGAGGCTGTGCGACGGCGGCTGGATGCGCTGGCGACTGCAGGGTCGCGCGGGGGAGGCTGGGTGACGGCGGCTGGCTGTGCTGGCGGGGTCGCCGGGCGGCTGGGGCGACGACGGGGTCGCCGGGCAGAGGCGGGAGGAGGCGAGGCGGCAGAACAGTGTTTGTGGAGAAGAAGAAAGAAAATGGAATAGGTTGGGGCGGCTGTCCAAGTAGGGTTTTAGGGGGGCGGGTATGTTAAAAAAAAAAAAAAATTTTGCTTCTGTGGGGATTCGAAAACTGGTCTGTTTTAATGAAATCAAGCGCCCAACCAGTAGGAATCCCGTGTGCAACATGTTTAAGAATCAGATCCAAAGCTATAAATTGTTGTTTCTCATATTTGGGCCTTGTTGTGCAACTCTGATTCACAACAAAAAATAAAAACCCAACTAAACACGTTTTTTTTTCTTGGTTTTCCAAATTTCTTAAAACACAACAGGAAACAAAAACAAGCAACAATACTAAACGGGCCCTTAGGAGACGAATATTTATAGGAAACGAGACCCACCACGAATATACCTTCTAACTTGTGATATAAGTAGCATTAATTACTTTCTTAATTAAAACGCGTCCAACAGACACTCACACCCACTCGGTCGCTCAACCGGTAAGATGAACGACATACGCATGTGAATTTGGTGGCCCATTTGATCATTACTCTCCCACAAAAGTAGGTCACCTCAAAGAACATCTGGAGGATCATGGGTACCTTTGTGAAGCTTGTTCAACCGGCAAGCATAGACCATTAGAGGTTGGCGCTTTCCGAATCCCACAAATCCGCAGCAGTGGTGCTCCAAGAATTTTCTTCATGCTTTCTACTGCGGATTACTGCGGATTTGGATGGAGCGGAATGCCCGGATCTTTCGTGAAGATGGCGCTGCCATTCTGGAAGTGTGTTTGGCTATTGCTCGTCATATGTTTGATTGGTTGGTTTGCGCCAGTAGGGTCGAAAGGACTATCGCCAAGTTATGATTCTTCAACCTTAAGCAACGACTCTTTCCTTCACATTTTTTTACTGCAGCTCCTCCTTTGGTTTTTGTTTGTGCGTTTCTTGCTGGGTGCTGTTTTTTTCCCCATCATTTCTCTCCTTTTTTCCTTTTGGCGCTGTGATGTTGACTTCCCCTGGGGCTTGTTTGCTCTGCCCTGGGAGGCTTTCTTACTTTTGCCTTTCTTTCTTTGTAATCTTCCATTTTTCTAATGTTATTTCACCATTATAAAAAACGACAAATATAATAGTTTTCTCCTTGACGCTTATAATTTTCAAAAATTATTCATTTCCAACATCACCGGCTATTGATATCAGTGGTGATACTAATCACCAACATCGCCACGCTGCAAAGCATCACCAAGATCCCAACTTCTCCGCCACCGGACCTACCATCACCGATATCACCGTCCACTTCAACAACATGATCAACACTTACCGGTACATATTTACATATAATCAGTCTCAAGAATCCATTAATTAGTTTCACTTATATTTATTATATCTCTGCTGATTCATTGATTGATTTTGTGTCTAGATATATGCTTGGGGCACTGGGGCAGTTGTGGTGGGGATGGCGTACATGATGCTACAACGATAAGTCAAAGAGTAGACGCTTGTACGTTGTCTTGCCACTGTTTTTAGTAACGTAATTTTTATGTATTATATTAAAGGGTGGAATTAGCGTTATTACTAATTTTGTTGCAATTTATCGTATCATTATCAACTATTTTGTGAGGTTTTATTAATGATATACAACCTCATTCTCAATGTTCGTGTGAGGTATAGTTAACGACATACAACATCATTATTAACATATTCAAAATAATTTGTGGTTATTTACAATATCATTGTTGAGGATAAATCACAGTTTACATTTTTAACGTAAATCATAGAATGTTAACAAGGCCTTGCAATTAAGTTGTTAACAAATCATTATTAACGACATCTCATCATTTTTAATGTAAAACATAGAACGTTAACAATACCCAACGATTAAATTATTAATATCTTTTGGACAATTGTTATCAACTTAACATAACATTATCAAAGTTTTCAGAAAGACGCCTACTGGAGTTCAAGTAAAACGCCGATCGAGCCGTCGATTTCAAAGTGTTCAGTAGCCTAGCCACCGAAAACGCTAAGCCATCGGTTACAAAATGTTCCGTAGCCTAGCCACCAAAAACTTCGAGCTGTCGGTAGCAACGTTAATAATAGGGGTGGCTATACGGTCCGGTTTGGTAAAATTGGCCCGAATTGATCCGGTCCCGGTCCGGTCTTTTTGAGAATATAAGGACCAAGAATTTGAAATACAATCTGGTCTTGATCCGGTCCGATCTTGAACCGGTCTGGTCCCAATTCGATCTTTATTTTAGATTGAACTTGTGGGGATTTGAATGGCTTGAGGGAGGATTGAGTGGTCCGAAGTTTGAAAGGGTGAGGAGGTAAAATTTTGGGGCTTGGGTTCTCTTATCTATGACCGAAAATGGGATTAAATTGTTAGCTATCCGATCCCGATCTGATCTCGATCCAGGTTATATGATCCAGTTTTGAGTAAAACCAAAAAGTCTGGACCAAATAGCCACCGTAGTCAATAACGTAATTGGAAGAGGCCATGGTTGAGGTTTGGGTTTGGGATCTCCGTGCATTAATTGGTTTTTAATTTATCCTTGGGAAGCCAATATAGTTAGCGTGCGTAAGTGGCTGCCTGGAGGAGGGCAGTAGAGGAACCAAAATAGGAGGGAGGGACATAACGATGTGCATAGAATTTCAAACCTGCCTTTTCCGTTGTTCACTTTTGCTGAACCCTTCTCGCTCTCTTCTTTTCTTATTTCGACTGCTTTTTCTTTGCTTCATCTCCATTCATTCATTCATTCATTCATTCAACTCTCTCTCTCTCTCTCTCTCTCTCTCTCTCTCTCTCTCTCTGGGCTGAATTGAAAGTGCTAGCTGAGGTGGTTGATGGATATTGAGGCCTTGTGGGCAGTTGGGGGGTACTGCTTTCTTCTCTCTTCTCCGTCCAGTAGTAATTGCATGGCAACAACAACAACAACAACAATTCGTCCGTCGCCGCAGATCGCTGCCACCGCTGCCTGCTGGAAACCTAGCCATCATCATCATCAATACCTAGTTTTGCTCATCCTGTTTCTTTTTCTTCTGCTCATCACGCCTTCTCCAGCGCAGCAGGGGCAGCTGCTTCATTCTCCCATCTCCGTCAAAAGGGTAGTTTTGGATTCCTCCTCCTCCACCACCGTGGATCTGCAGCAGCCAGAAGAACAAGTTGGGAAGAGAGGCCACGACGAGTCGAGGCCAAGGTGGAAGCCGAGGAGAGATGAGCATCAGTTTGGAGCTGAGGAGCATGAGGTCCCCAGCGGTCCCAACCCCATCTCCAATTAGATCCATGGCCTAGCTAAGCTCGTACAATATTATTGTTATGCATAATTAATTAGGTGAGAGGGTTTTGAATTTTCCATATCTAAATACCTAGCTAGTACAAAGAATGCTGATATATATATATATGTGGGAATGGGATAATGTTCATACAAAAGCGTGGAGTGTGGGAGAGATGGATGGATGGATCTGAATTACAAGTATGTTTTGTGAAACTGTCCAGCGATGAAGTTTTGTAACTTCCTTTCTCCTTCTTCTTCTTCTGGTTTTCTTTCTTTCTTTCTTTCATTTTAATGTATATTTATTATTGTTTGGTGGGTTTATGGTTACAGAGTTTGCCATCCAGTCGTCCACCACCATTAATGCTGATTTTGTCTTCAGGTGAAGGCCAGGGTTTGTTGTTGGGTTTTTTTTCTTTCTTTCTTTCTTCTTTTTGTTGGCTTCTTTCAGTTTCAAATTCACCCCATTGCTAGCTATTTGGGAGAACAAAAAGAGACATACTGCTATCTAGTGGGGAGAGGAGGGAGGTATTATGTATAGCAAGAGCGCAAACAAAGATGATTGAATATGTTAATCTACATATGTTTTTTTTGTGACGATTGATTTTTGTGTGTAGCATGGTTGCTTCAGAAAAAGTTAGCGTATTTCCAACCTACGCTATACGTCTATGTTCACACTTGTTATATGTATTATGTACTAAGATAAATTTCGATAAATCAAAATCATAGGTTATTATTTTTTAAATTAAGTAAATTTTATGGTTCGCGATAAAAAAATTAGAGACTTGGGTAATTGTCTTCATCAATTATAAGCAAACCTTTCAATAAGCCCTGTTTATTGTTTAAGTAATTCTAGAAAACACATAAAATTAGGAGTATGTAAGAGATTGGTATTGGTACAAAATTAAAAAATGAACAAAACAATGTTATAACTCGTTCGATCTAAACTACATGAGTTATAATTTTTTTTTATAATATAATGCAATAATGCAATAAAAGGGGGCAGCAAGGCAATCTGTGATAGATGAACCACCTACGCCAGAAAATTTTGAGTTGTCATGCACCGACTCCATGAAGAAAAAACAGACGTGCGAAAAGAGAGAATCCATTCCAAGCAGAAGAAAAGAAAGCAGATAGACAGATCTCCATAGATAAGCAGAGGATATTGTTGCGTGGATTTTCCTTCATTCCATTGGTCTCTTACCATAACAGAGAGCTATTCTCCTGGGCAGCAAACCAGAGAACAAACTGCAGAGAGAGAAGGGAAGAAGAAGAAGAAGGAAACGAATCTTTGGTTGGAGAGTAATTACAGAACAGTAGCTTAGCTAGAATCGATATTGTCAGAGGTGTGATTTGTTTGGTTGCGCTGTGTTTGTTTTGTTTTGTTTGTGTGAACAACATATCCATCCATCCATCCCCATGAAGAAAAGAAAGAAAAGAAGGACAAAATTATTACTTTGCATTGTTCTGGATTTCGCTTTTTGTCTTGTCAAAATTACACACCACCCAATGGAAAGAAAAGGCAAAAGAAAAGACAGGCCGCTGATTGATAAAACACAAGTACCCCACCAAAAGCAAAGGTTAAAGTTGAGCCTCGGGACGGTCAGGCGGACAAAGCCAAAAGCAATGCAGGATAGCAAAAATATATGCAGTTCAGTGAATCATTTCGTAATAATAACAGCATCCAGTTCCAGCCAGCTAGCTACTACCACTTCTCTCCTCTCCTCTCCTCTCCTTCTCCACCGCGCATATATTATTTATATTGCCAATCATATGTTCATTATGATATACTTTTTCCCGTTGATAAATTCCCATTATGATATAGGCAAACATTAGATAGAAAGAAAGAAAAAAAGGAAGGAATGACAAACTTGGCTACTCGGTTTTTCACTTTAGGGTTCGTTTGGATGAGTTAATTGTCAATGTGATATTTTTAGAAAATTTATTAATTATTCATGTGGTATTTCAAAGTTATTTTAGTGGTAATTAGATTAAAGTTTTCTTATTTGGTTGAACCATTTACATGTGGTATTTTAAAAAAGCTGAGTGGCAAAACGAGTTATTTTGAAATAACTAGGGGATAGGAGTTATTTCGAATAACTCGTTTTGAATTATTTGTAAAAAGCTCACAAACCAAATAACTCATTTGAAACGAATTATTTTGATCTAAATAAATCACTCAAATATATACTCATCCAAACTACCCTGTCTTTTATTTTCCCCTTTGTTAGATGCCAAAACTAGTTAATTATTTATTTGATTACCGTCCACAATAATTAAAAAACCCTAGCTAGTAGCGAATGGTGTACTTGCGTATCTTCGAATTTCAAACGTATATGACTGCAGAATTTTGACCTGTGCTCATGCATTGTGTCTTTTAGGATATAAAATAATATAATATTATTGCACCAATCTTCTTTTCAAAAGAAAGAATCAGCTTTTAAGTAATTTCTTCTCTCTCTTTTTTTTTTTTTATCATTTCGACCGCAAGTTATGGCATGTTGCCACAAAAGAAGAACATTTTGCAGTGTCCAGAAGGCTTTTCCTATGAATATTAAATTAATTTTGCATGTCTTTGTCTGTGATCCATCGATCCTTTGCTTTTGAGTGGCGTTGTCTGGATGTGTGGACATTTTCAACTTTTAGGTATAAATTTGATTTCGTTGGGTTGAAATCTTGGTGCAACTTATAGTTGTTGGACTTGATTAATTAATTTCTTCTGTCTCTTGTATCAGTTATCAATTACCGACAATGTTTAGGGGTTGGCTTGAACTTGAAGAAGTACTATTAAAGACTACACTATTTCATAGCTTTCCCATCCGATACATTGATCCGGAAATAAAGTTGTCAAATTTATGGCCAACACTGTAAAGACTACCATGCAAGCCCATTTGTTAACTTTGCTAGGCCCGGCACAAGCCCGACACGGTTCGAATCGTGCCGTGCCTATTCGTGCTCGTGCCATGCTCGTATTCGTATTTAATTCAAATGAAGAAAACAAAAGTAAGAATAAAAAAGAATGTGAAAATTGGACGGATAAAGATAGTATTAACCGATAATGTTTGAGAAAAGTAACAAATAAGGGGAAAAGAAAATTGGAAGTATAGCTAGTGTGATTTGCCTTTGTTTAATTCTTCGTACATTCTTACTTATGGTAGTAATTACGTATATATCTTTATGACACTTCTAACAACAACATATAATTCTTTTTATACTTGAATTTTGTAATATTTGAACCTATAATTCTTTTTATATTTATTTTCTATCAAATAAATATTATTTTTGTGTCAGGTCCGTTCTTATACATAATAAAGTCTCGAAAATATGAGACTCGACACAGCCCACTTATATACCGTGTCGTGCCCATGCCAATGCCCGTGCCCATGAAGTTTAGGCCCGGCAAGACCCATAAATTATTTGTGTTCATGCCGGGCTGGCCCATTTATTTCGTGCTCGTGTCGTGCCGTGCTAGCCCGTGGGCGGCACGGCCCGGTGCCCACATACAGTCAAGACTCTTTAAACCGCTCAAGTAGCAAATTAGTAACTGAGAGGAGTAGCATTTTCAGTTTCAACTATTACATATGTTAGTATAACTATTGCAGTTCAAACTTAACTGGAGGAGTAGTGACTCACTAAAACACAACACTCCTAACACAGGCCAAGTATAACCAAAGAAAGACGGAAAGGGATTGCAGTAATGTGGATTTTATTTAGATTGTCAACCTGAATCCTAGGTTTACTGCATACTCCGTGAATGTCTATTATCTAGCTGTCTATTTGTCGTGAAGTAGTGAAAAACAAAGTAGCAGAAAAAGCAAGTTAATTGTTATGATTTTCAAATTCGAGAAAGACCACTAAGGTAATGATTCCCTCGATTCTGCAATTAGATCAAGTTGTAAATTACCCAATTAAATTCAGTTGAAATTTATATTGCAGAAGATCAACTTGGTCTTTTTTAAGCAAACCAAGCCCTCTTATGCACAGTACCCGGCGGGCGACTAACCTCCACCGGGATAAAATGTTAAGGCAATAAACACATATCTCCTCTACTAGAATAAATCTCAGTACAAAGCAATGAATCGATTGGCTCTCGCATAATCAATTCACTACTTCCAATTCAGGTTGCTCTAACAGGCCTATTCAGATTCTATCATTCTAGGTCAAAGCATTATGGAAAATGCTTCAATTGGATATAACAATCACACTATCATGAATTCAGATTCATACAAACTACTAATAACATACAAATCTAGGGTTCTTCATACCCAAGTGGAAGAGAGTGGTTTACGCCATGGAGAAAGAGGAAAGCACAATCGAAGGAGTCATGCTCATAAAGATGTGTATGATCTGCTCCGGGATGTCAATCTTCTCTTCTAGGGCCGAAATCCAAACTCCAATAGTGAAATATCGGCTCAAATTAGCTCAAAAGACTTCTTGTTTGTCACTTTCTCTCATTAGAGCTCTCTTAGATCGTTCTTCAAGTCAAAAATCAGATCCTTGGTAAGAATCCCAAAATTTGCTTTTGAACCAACCCAGGACAAATTCCCTGGGCGGGTAATTCCACCTAAGCCCGAGGATTCCTCAAAACGTAGCATATGGATAAGTGAGGCTGCTCGAATTACCCGGTCTGGCCACTAAAATCCCTTATCGGGTAAGAACATCATCTATATGGGGAATAGCTCCTGTAATTTTCCCCGGGTTCCCTTTCAAGATACGCGGTCGGGGCCATCACGGGTAATCTGCCTGGCCTAGTTGACTTTGGCCCATTGTCTCCAGCTTGTCACCAAATACACTCCTACGCTTCCTTTTACATTGCATGAATGGTTGAAATTAGTCGTGGGATTGGTCAAGTAAGATAGTTTGAATGATGTATGATGTGCATGTGGACTTGATTGAGCCTTGGTGGGCTCGTTTTGCATGAATTGTGATAAATTGAGAAAAATTGCCCACCAAGTTCAGTGTGTTTGAATGTTGAGTTGGATCCACTTTTGTGAATGGTGGTTGGTG